GAACCCACAGTCCTCCTCCTCCTCCTCCTCCTCCTCCTCCTCCTCCTCCTCCCCTTCTAATACTGATGATATTCCTTAGTTGGGTCATGCAACATCTGCAAGAAATCCACCAAGCTCAGAGAGCACCAAGGACCCCACAGTCCTCCTCCTCCCTTCTAGCACTGATGATGTTCCCTAGTTGGGTCATGAAACGTCTGCAAGAGAAAAACCAAGCTCAGACAGCATCATGGACCACCACCACTACTGTCATCTCCTTCTCCTCCTCCTCCCCTCCTCATCCTCTAGCACTGGTGATTCTCCCTAGTTGGGTAATAAAAACAACGAAGCTCATAGAGCACCAAGGACCCCTCGCGTCAACCCTAAGCTACAAATATTCTCCTTTGTTGGCATACAACTTACTTAACAATACTTGGAGTCTAGCGTTCAGGCTGTAATGCTCACGACAGCTTTAAGACCAGTATTAATGTAATTTATTTATTTGTCAGCTTTTCATCATCCCATTGCATCGTACGATTCCCGCTTATAACAAACCCTATTTAGTTAGGCCACTATTGCTAGAAAACTTCAAGTGGGACCCGCAAAGAGATAGTTGATTAACCCCTCGGACGGATCCCTGCAGCCTTCTGTTTCCAAAAAACCCCCCCCTTTCTCCTGCCCAGAACATGGAAACAAATGATTTCTTAAAACACAGTGGAGGGAGGTCGCCTGTGCAGAAGGCTGGAGGATACAGGAGGAGAGAAAAAACACGGATCAAAAATGACGACACGATTATTACCTGTAAGTTATCCAGAATAATTCGCAGGGACTGAACTTGTCTTCGAACAGCGCCAGAAAACCTTTCGTAAGTTGAGGCGTCGTATTCGCTCATCTGGATCTCTTTTAATCTGAAGCAAAACAATATGGAAGTGAAGGAAAACTGGTTCTTTTCTGCAGGACAGATAGACAGAGAGATGGATAGACAGACAGGAGGAAGGAAGGAAGGAAGGAAGGAAGGGGTAAGAAAGGAAGGAAGGAAAGGTGAGGGAGGGAGGGAGGGAAGGAAGGAAGGAAGGAAGGAAGAAAGGAAGGATGGATGAGGGAAAGAAGGAAGGAAGGAAGAAAGGATGGGTGAAGGAAGGAAGGAAGGAAGAGTGAGGGAAGGAAGGAAGGAAGGAAGGATGGGTGAGGAAAGGAAGGAAGGAAAGAAGGAAGGAAGAAAGGATGGGTGAGGGAAGGAAGGAAGAAAGGAAGGATGGGTGAGGGAAGGAAAGAAGGAAAGAAGAAAGGATGGATGAGGGAGGGAAGGAAGGAAGGATGGATGAGGGAAGGAAGGAAGGAAGGAAGGAAGGAAGAAAGGATGGGTGAAGGAAGGAAGGAAGGAAGAGTGAGGGAAGGAAGGAAG